TTGTTTTATTTGGAATCTAATCCTTTCCATCATTAGAGGGGAACCCTGGCATCAAACGGCTTTAACAAAGTTTCATCTCCAGCTTTTTGCAATAATTACTACATGGATGTAAAAAGTACTTTGATCAGACTTTGGATCCACCTGCTGCAGACATCAGCTGAGTTTAGAAGAAAGACCACAGAGTTTAAATGAGCTTCAGATCAAATAATCCAATCAGGAGCCAAAAAAATACTCAAATTAGAGCAGCAACACTGTTCTACATTTTCTAAATATATAAATATATTTTTTAGATGTGTAAGATAAATATTCAATCTTTAATGACGAGTAAAGCTGTTTGTTGTCGGATTGGTGACATAATTCCATAGATCTTCCCCCATAGACTCTGGTTAAAAGATAGGAGCATCCCAGAGCTGAAAGCAGCTTTATTCCCTCACCACCTTCCTCTGACGTCACAGTCGTCTGTTAGAAAGTGCGGCTGATTGACAGGTTTATAGGATTATTTAGCTCCAAGGCTAGGCTAACTGCATGCAGCGAGGCTAAGGCTTTATTCTGCTTCCCTGCCTCCTTTTCCAAACGTCAGGATCTGAGCCAGCATGGATAAAGACAGCTAGGTCTGATTTAAAGCATTTTGTAGAACATTTTAGAAGGTTTTTTGTTGTTGGCATTCATGTAAATATACCGTATTTTTCTGACTAGAAGTCGCACTTTTTTTCATGGTTTGGCTGGCCATGCGATAGCCTCGTGAGACCATCCTGATCTCGCGAGCTTTCAAGGTTTCACTCGCAGATCAGTCTGGAGACTCTCCGTTGAAGAAAATTTGGAGCCGTTCACCAAACGAACGTCCAATCAGCGTTGGCTTTGAGGCGGGTTGAGGTGTGACGCAACGAGAAGCGCGACAGTTCAGTCTAAAGAACATGACGGCTTCAGCCGATGAAACTAGCGTTAGCGTGGCTATCGCGCAAGTTTTATCGGAATTACAGAGTATTTCTTCACTGAAAGAAGAGCAAAACACTGCTCTGGAGGCTTTTCTCAGAGGAAAAGATGTTTTTGCTCTTCTCCCGACTGGTTTCAGCAAGAGTTTGATCTATCAATTGGCTCCTCTTCGTCGTCGCTCTGTTAGTACGTCATATGCTTCGTTGATCTGATTGGTTTATTTGGCCCGTCTATCACCAACATAGGCCAATCAGCTAACCAGTATTTTCGCCCCTTCCCAAAATTATTTCAACGGAAGGTTTCCAGATGGAAATGCGGAGCAAATCCATCTGGCGGAGTCAGGTTAGCCATGCGACTCTGGTGCGTAATATATAAAATTTTTTCACCATGAGAGGGCACTGTGTGGCTTTGCACACAACAACACGCATTTCATTTATGCCAATGAAAGAAAAAAACGTTACAACTTACCACAAAAAACAAATTAGCATTACAACGACGACGACTGAACAGAAATATGCCACCCTAGAGAAATTCATATACTGCTGAATTCAAGCTGAAAGTAATTAAATATGCAGAGAAAATGGCAATAATTTTATTTGATGAAATAAAATCGAACCAAAATGAAGAATGACTCCTTGATGGTGACCGCAGTTTTACTGACAGAGCCGCGGGGAACTAAGACCGAGCGGTAAAATGTTCTAACAGCAAACTGATCAAAAGTATAAATTAGGATATAAAATAGGCCTGTAGACGAATCCTTTTAAATGTACGCCTATTACAGTAGTGATAGTACTAATGATAGTAGTGGTGATATTTAAAACAACCAGAGTAGGCAACAGGGCAACTAGCGCGTTATCGCTGCTTCTCAGATTCCATGGATAGAATAACCTTTCAAAAAGGTGCGACTTTTAGTCCGGTGCATCGTTCGTTTTTCCGTCTTCATTATGCGTTTTTCGGCTCATGCGACTTTAACGCCTGAGTGGCGTATAGTACGAAAAATACCTTAAGATTAATTTGATTGGTTTTTGGTACAGGTCTATGTTGTGGCCATTTATGCTACATTTTTGCAATTTCTACCAATTTAGTTTTCTTCTTTGGGTATTTAGAAAATATTTAAGTGAATTTTGAACCAAAATTTGTAATAAATCTTTTATATTTGGAATTGCTTAGATGTCTTGCTGGTGGATTGTTTGGTAAATGTCTGATGTCGACGGGAAGTTTTGTTAAATTTTTTTTGATCACCTTTTTAGAGCTTCAACCATTAAATCAACATTATTTGTTTTGACTAAGTTGCAGGACATTTTTTAGTAATTATTTTTCCTTTTCTTCTACAATAAATGAGTCAAGTCTGAAGTGCGTACAAAGTCAAAACCAAAGTCTTTGTTGAAAATGTTCTTTTTTCAAACAGAAGGCCGGGGCAGTCTATTTTGAATGTTATAGCGCCGCCTGGAGGAACCTCCAGCAGCTGCCACTGGTAACAATGCTGGTGAAACGATTTCTATCCTACTATCTGTTAAGGTTTGAGGAGTTTTATACCATGGATTAAAATCACAGGCTGACCATCCAGAGCTTTTAAACTGGCTCTTAAAAAAAAGTCGCTCATATTCAGAATCCAAACTTCTGAAAGTTCTTTAAATCTGAAATGATTCCATCCTGTTCAATAAATGATCAGTGTTTTTAATTCAGAGTAATTTTCATGTGAATGTGCTTTACTGGAGGCATCCATGTTTGTCAAAGAACACTACTGCCACCTACTGGTTAGTGACATTGTCACGGTGCGGTATCGGCTGTTGATCAAGTCCCAGTGCTGTATCTGGTGTTTGTCACAACGCGCTATTATCCAAGTCATCTTGAAAACATTCTTCTTCCAAATGTTGGCTACATATTACGGGTTTTTTCTCTGGCCAGAAGTTCGATGGCAAATCCTCCCTCTTCAAGTTGGCGATCCAACGACCAACCCGTCCGTGGAGGATCAGGAATCAGAAAGGTGGAATAACTCTTTTTTTCACTTTTACCCGATGTATTCCAGCATCCAGCTGCCATGCACGTGGGCATTGTCAGTTTCACTATAGCTCTGGTGAATTTCAATGGTGAAGTCCTCTGGAAATCTTCAATAATTGTTGTTGATTGCAGATGTGTCTAGTAGTTCCCATTGATTTAGCTTGGAAAGCGGGGAGAATGGCGCTAGGCTTACCGCACCGTGACGTCACTGCTGGAGGGAGGGGCTACTATATTTGGGCCAAAATGGCCGCTCCCAGACTCAGTGATCGCAATGAAATTATTATTTTCATTTTTATTACTGAGTAATGCTAAATTTATTAAATCACAGCAAAGACATTAGTTGTAGGTATAAATAATGATCCATTATTCCTTATTATTATTTCGCTGTCCGGACTTTTCCTTCCAGATAATATTTCTGCGTCTTTGTTCAAAGTTGAGCTCCAGACTTGAGGACTCCTGTAGCTCCGGGCGCCGTTCTCAGGTTCTCTGCATCCAAAGGGAAAGTTTCCCAAACCGACGATCAACGACTGAACCTAAACGAAAGCAGCAAACTGAGAGGAAAAAATAAATAAACATGAGCCAAAGCTTCTTCATCGTCTTTATTAAACATCAACCCACATTTTTAGATTTTATAACGACACATTGATGAGGTGGAAGCAGCTGCGTTACACTGAGGGAAGCGCCTAAACATGCATCACTTCTCACAACATCAACACCAGGTTACTGTAAACGACGACGCCACCAAGCCGATGTGCCTAAAATCACTTCCAAATAAATTACTTTCTATAAATAATAACATTTGATTAAAGTCGCTGAGCAGTTCTGCAGCTTTTTTCTCCTGTTTAAGGTTCATCGCCTCTTTCTGCTCGGCTGCTCTCATCCTCCTCGCTCCTTGCTTACTCTTTGCCTCCCTTATTTTTCTCACCCGTCCTCCCCCAGGAGGCCGGCAAAAACATATTTTCCCCAAACTGTTAAGAGAGTGCTGCAGAAAGGGGGAGATTAAGATCTCAGAGCTGTCAGGATGTTGCAGAAATCCCTCTAATGCTTTTTCCCTTTAAGGAGGAGAAGAAGTTGTGAAAAGCTTTGACACGCTCGGCTTTCCAGGAGTCCGACGGCGGGAGAAGCTTTCCGACGGCCGAAGGAGCAAAGAGGGCGAGAAGCAGACTAGCTCTGTAGATATTTTACATAGATTCACAGGTGATTTATTTTGAATAAAACTAAAAGTTTATCAGCCTTCAAAGCAGGAAGGTCTGCAAATACTTGGTCCTAAATCTGCGGCGATAAGATCCGGTTTGAACCGGATTTACAGCAAAACACACAAATTCAACATTTAAAATAAAAACAATTATTCAATAAAAAGAAGATGGAAAAAAGGATCTAAATAAGGAAGAAGCTGTTCCCACTGAAAATGGGTGTGTTTGTTTCTGGGGTCAAAGGTCAGCAGTTTTTAACCTAAGTAATCAGAAATGATGCGATACCAGTTTTATTTACTGGTTTCTCCTCTGGAAAAGGTCCAAGTCGGACGAAAAAAACCCGAAAAGGTTCACTTTTTAAAGGAGAAATGTTTTAGTAACAGTCGGTAGAAAACAGAAAAAACGAGAAAGAAAATTGATGAAATGTTGGAATGAAGGGAAAACTTCCTGGTGTCTCTGCTGAAAACGATCCGCGGGAAAACAGAGTTCAGGGGAAGTTTAAAAGTAATCAACCTCTAAATGAAGGGAAAAAAAAATAAAATAAAGAGAAAATAAAATAATTTTTTTAGTGTTTTATAGAAGTTCAATGTTGATGTTAAAGATAACCGTTAAGCTAAGGATCACATGGAGCAAAACCAGCCAATCAGCAGCGAGGAACCGGGAACGCTGCACACGGGATGAGACGTTCACTGCAGCCACGGAAACGGCAGCTCCGGTCAGACCGACTCAGACTCAGAGAAATACTGGGGAAAATTTGCTTTACTGGCGGCAGCGTCCGAACCCCAACCCGGTCCGAGACATAACCGGTCCGAGCGAGAACCGGTCCGAACCCGACCTGGTCCGAACCTAACCCGGTCCGAGCGATAACCAGTCTGAGCTGGAACCGGTCCGAGCTGGAGCCAGTTTGAGGTGAAAATGTGTTAAACTTTGAAAAAAAAAATGTCTGGCTGCAAAAACACAGCGGAGAAGTGAGGATGGCGTCTGAGAAGGTTCGTTGTTCACGAACAGAACCGTTGGACCGCCCGGGTTTAACGACGAACCGAACCGTCGGACCGCCCGGGTTTAACGACGAACAGAACCAACGGACCGCCCTGGAGTTCTTTCGATCAAGAATAGAAACAAGGTAAAAATTCTGCAGAACCAGCAGCAACAGCAGATAAATAGGAACCATAAGACCCAAAAAAACCAACATCAACACCAATCAGAAAATGAACAGAACTTCTTCGCCATGATGCTGTAGCAGATAAAGCAGGAACCAAACCTGGACCCGAGTCCAGTTTGGACCTTTCTCTTCTAAACCTTTTCATTCAGGTGGTGAAAACCATCAGAACCACCGCATGCATCTGCCTTTGATCCCAAACCGCCAGGCGGGTCCAGGTCCGTCCGACGGCGCCATCGGGGCTACACCATGAAGCGGTGCTCCTTGCCGTCGTGGGCCATCAGGATGACGTTACGGTTGGAGGTCCAGATGAGGCGCGCGAGCTTCAGCTGGTTCTGGGATCCCGGGGAAGCGGGTTGCACCGGAGGAACCTGGTAGGTCTTGATACAGCGGAGCTGCGGCGCCGAGTTCAGCATCCCGATGCTGCCCAGCAGACCGGTGTTCATCTGGCAACGGACAAAAGAACCTTTAGATTTCCAGAACCTCATCAATTAGACCCAGAAAGAGGAACAGAACTAGAACTTTCTTAGGACCTATTTTAGTCCAGTTTACTGGCCTGGTCACTAGATTCCTGTTATAAAAACTCAAATATCTCCCATTCAAAATGGCCGATAGTTTTGCTAACAGTTGGAATCCATGCAGGATTTATAAACATCATCTCATCACTTTAGGCTGCATTTATGTACGTTGTTCACCTGCTGTTGGATCACTGACCTTCTGTCTCTCTGACTCTGCTGGACCTCAGTTTTACCGATCTATGGGGGGGGTGGGGTGCTGTATGTGATGCGGAAAGCCAGGCAACGCCATCGACCTCCAGTTATTGACAGGAAAAAAGCTTCGTCTCTGTTTTGCTCCACTACCGTACATCACAGCCACACCCATTCCCTGACTGGCTAATTCAACGCAACATTTTAAAATCCTGCTTCATTTTGCTCTGTTTTATCTCTGAGTCCCGCTTGTTCAAACCACCTTAAAGAGTCCGACAGGATTTATAAACATTGACTATTCATATTAAAAATCCTAAGAGAATTTATAAACACTGGCTCATCATGTTAAAGAGCCCAACAGGATTTATAAACATTGACTATTCATATTAAAAATCCTAAGAGAATTTATAAACACTGGCTCATCATGTTAAAGAGCCCAACAGGATTTATAAACATTGACTATTCATATTAAAAATCCTAAGAGAATTTATAAACACTGGCTCATCATGTTAAAGAGCCCAACAGGATTTATAAACATTGACTATTCATATTAAAAATCCTAAGAGAATTTATAAACACTGGCTCATCATGTTAAAGAGCCCAACAGGATTTATAAACATTGACTATTCATATTAAAAATCCTAAGAGAATTTATAAACACTGGCTCATCATGTTAAAGAGCCCAACAGGATTTATAACCATTGACTATTCATATAAAATAAGCTAGACATAGTTTATAATCATGGGGTCTTTTGCAAGAAGTGTTTGCTAGCTGGCTAGCTCAAGCCAGCTAGCAAACGCGTCCTGGGTTCATATCCATGCTGGGGGAAATGAGCTGCCAGTGTGGGTCCTTAGGCAGGACGCTTCACGCTAATGCCTGCTTTGGGGGAGCGGCGGCCTGGTGGTTAGGGCATTTTGCTTGGGCTCCAGAGGTTCTGAGTTTGAGCCCCACTCCCACAGACTGCCACTCTGGGTCCCTGAGCAAGACCCTTCACTGCTCCCCAGGCGCCGCACAATGGCAGCCCACTGCTCCCCAAGGGGAGGGGTTAAATGACGGGGGAGGGAATTCTGTTCTCTGTAAAAACACTGTAAAAAAAAAAAAAAGAAAAAAAAAAGGGATATTATACAAACAAATTTGTTCCTAAATCATCAGTCAGCTGATTTAGGAGAAAATGTCTCAATCAAAATTTTTCTCCTGTTTCTAATCATCTCACAGGTAGGAACTCATTTTCCTCCCTTTTATAAAACAAGTGGTTAATAAAATTTTTGTAGATTTGTGTCTGATCTCAGAACTAATGCAGTTTTTATTGCTTTTATTCAAATTAGGCCGATTAAAGATAAACTAACTAATTTGGACCTTATCCTCATGGCTCTACTTCCAGGTTCTGACAGGAGACTCGCTGCTTCTGTCCATGGTGCTGAACTATGAGGAGGCTGAAACTGGACCACTTCAGAGTGCGGGGGGGGGGGGGGGGGGGGGGGGGGGGGACAGGACAGACAGCAGAAACTCTATCGTTACCCCGACAAAGCGTCTGCTAGCTAATTACCACAGCAGCCGTCCTGCCGGCGCGCTCGCAGTGGTTTATGCTTACAGTAATGCCATTACTCTGAGAGGGTGTGTGATGGGAGGGGGGCATGTCAGAGGTCGTAAAGACCTTTCATTAAAAATACCAGTTCTGGGAAGGGAAAGCAGGCATGTTAGACTCTGTTTATTAGCCACACGTGTAGCTGCTGTTCCTGGAAATAATCTCTGCTCAGATCAAAGAAACTATTGAGCTTATTTCAGAATATGAGCAGGAATTAAAACTAAATTATCTGCAGAAAGAAATGAGGAAACCTTCAACAATTTTAATAAATCAACAAACTGGAGAAATAATGTTTTGTTATGAAAAGATTTCAATAAGCATTAAAGTCATAAAGATGTTTGTTTCCCTGCAGCTGATCTGGTCTCTTTAAATCAGCATGATGTCGTTTCTCTGGTAGCTTTTTAGCTCAGATTAGCCGCGTCACTCAGACACAGATCTGAAAACGGTTTCCCAAAATAAAAACATTGATTTTAATGTTGTGATAAAGGTTTATTCTGACTCTGCTGGGTCCCTTTATAATAGATCTGTTAATGATAGATGTTCTCCGCTTCCTTTTCAAACCATTTAAAACTAACAAATTTAAGGGAGTTATCTGTTATTATTCTTGCACTAAAGTTTTAGCCACAAAAATTAAAAACTATTAAAGGCCTTTGATCAAGTAAATTCTCTTCAATAAACCCATCTTGAGTGAATTATGTGTAAAAGCGAAAAGGTTGCGGTTAGAATCTGACAGCAGATGAAGATCAGAGCTAAATGGTCTCTGAGGACTGAGGTGGGATCTGCTTACCTGCCAGAAGCAGATGTGGCTGTCGGCGTTGGAGTAGGTCGCCAAGTACCGGCCGTCAGGGGCGAACGACACGGCCGTGATCGGACCTTTGTGGCCGTGGATGTTCTGCAGAGGAACACAGGAGAACTCTCAGAATATGGGAACCAAAGCAGAGAGATGGAGGGACAGATTAAGCTAACCCTTCCACCCAGATTCAGGAAAGATCCAGAGCAGGAGCAGAAGGAAAGCAAAGATCTAAACCCTCATTAACATGAAACATTTTAAATGGATGAAACCAACCTGGAGTCTGAGAACATAGAACAACGGAACCAGAAATGCAAGAAAAGTCTAAAACCTAAGAGCTGACGGAAGATGAGGATGTAGAAACAGTTCTAGGAATGATCTATAAATGAATCAAGGAGTAGTTCTAGGATTAGTTCTATGACTGTTTCTAGGAATAGTTCTATAATGGTTCTAGGAAAATTCCTAGAACCATTCCTAGAAATATTCCTAGAACCATTCCTAGAAACATTCCTAGAAACATTCCTAGAACTATTCCTAGAACCAGTCCTTGAACCAGTCCTAGAAATATTCCTAGAACTATTCCTAGAACATTCTTAGAAATATTCCTAGAAATATTCCTAGAACCATTCATAGAAATATTCCTAGAACTATTCCTAGAAATATTCCTAGACCTATTCCTAGAAACATTTCTAGAACTATTCCTAGAACCATTCCTAGAAACATTCCTAGAAACATTTCTAGAACTATTCCTAGAAATATTCCTAGACCTATTCCTAGAAACATTTCTAGAACTATTCCTAGAAATATTCCTAGACCTATTCCTAGAAACATTTCTAGAACTATTCCTAGAACCAGTCCTAGAACCAGTCCTTGAACCAGTCCTAGAAATATTCCTAGAACTATTCCTAGAACATTCTTAGAAATATTCCTAGAAATATTCCTAGAACCATTCATAGAAATATTCCTAGAACTATTCCTAGAAATATTCCTAGACCTATTCCTAGAAACATTTCTAGAACTATTCCTAGAAATATTCCTAGACCTATTCCTAGAAACATTTCTAGAACTATTCCTAGAAATATTCCTAGACCTATTCCTAGAAACATTTCTAGAACTATTCCTAGAAATATTCCTAGACCTATTCCTAGAAACATTTCTAGAACTATTCCTAGAACCAGTCCTAGAACCAGTCCTTGAACCAGTCCTAGAAATATTCCTAGAACTATTCCTAGAACATTCTTAGAAATATTCCTAGAAATATTCCTAGAACCATTCATAGAAATATTCCTAGAACTATTCCTAGAAATATTCCTAGACCTATTCCTAGAAACATTTCTAGAACTATTCCTAGAACCAGTCCTAGAACCAGTCCTTGAACCAGTCCTAGAAATATTCCTAGAACTATTCCTAGAACATTCTTAGAAATATTCCTAGAAATATTCCTAGAACCATTCATAGAAATATTCCTAGAACTATTCCTAGAAATATTCCTAGACCTATTCCTAGAAACATTTCTAGAACTATTCCTAGAAATATTCCTAGAACCATTCATAGAAATATTCCTAGAACCATTCCTAGAAATATTCCTAGAACTATTCCTAGAACATTCCTAGAAATATTCCTAGAACCATTCCTAGAAACATTCCTAGAACTATTCCTAGAACCAGTCCTAGAACCAGTCCTAGAAATATTCCTAGAACTATTCCTAGAACATTCTTAGAAATATCCTAGAACTATTCCTAGAACATTCCTAGAAATATTCCTAGAACCATTCCTAGAAACATTCCTAGAACTATTCCTAGAACCAGTCCTAGAACCAGTCCTAGAAATATTCCTAGAACTATTCCTAGAACATTCTTAGAAATATTCCTAGAAATATTCCTAGAACCATTCCTAGAAATATTCCTAGAACTATTCCTAGAACATTCCTAGAAATATTCCTAGAACCATTCCTAGAAACATTCCTAGAACTATTCCTAGAACCAGTCCTAGAACCAGTCCTAGAAATATTCCTAGAACTATTCCTAGAACATTCCTAGAAATATTCCTAGAACCAGTCCTAGAACATTCTTAGAAATATTCCTAGAACTATTCCTAGAACATTCCTAGAAATATTCCTAGAACCAGTCCTAGAACATTCTTAGAAATATTCCTAGAAATATTCCTAGAACCATTCCTAGAAACATTTCTAGAACTATTCCTAGAAATATTCCTAGAACCATTCCTAGAAATATTCCTAGAACTATTCCTAGGACATTCCTAGAAATATTCCTAGAACCATTCCTAGAAATATTCCTAGACCTATTCCTAGAAACATTTCTAGAACCATTCCTAGAAACATTTCTAGAACCATTCCTAGAAATATTCCTAGAACCATTCCTACAAATATTCCTAGAAACATTCCTAGAACTATTCTCCAGGGGCTCCATCTTTGCCGGACGCTCGCTGACGTTTTTTTGAGCCCACAGCTGCCGACCCTGAGCCATTTTTCTGTCCTGTAACGACCTGACCTGGAATAAACACAGTTACTTTTTTACTCCTGTTTTATAGTCTTTTTTTATCTGGTTTTATCCAGTTTGAGTTAAGAGTAGGAAATAACTTGCTCCCAGGAAAAGAACCGGTAGGGAAGCTCAGAACCATGTGTGTTTGTTTTGCCGGTGTGAGAAGAAGAGAAATCATTTATGGTATTTTGATTTTCTGTTTGCAGAACAACCTTTTCAGGGAGAACAGGGACGGTTCTTTGGTGATAAATAATCTAAAGTGTCTGTTTCTGCCAGCTGCTTTCAGGGCCGCTCTTCTCGCAGTAGAAGCAGCTCCAGAATGACCTCAGGAAAGCCTGGTTCTGCTGAAATAAGCCCATCAGCAGCTTCTGGCCCAACAGATGCCTCCAGAGCTCTGGGGAAAGAACTGCCTGCCGCTGCGCCGAGTGTAACGCAATAACTGCTCCCACCAGATGCGGGACGTGTAACCTAATAAAGGTCCTGTGACTGGGATTACAAACGCTCACCTCCAGATGAGATTAAGACGCGCCGCCTGCCTCGGGCATCAGGGCCTGAAATAATAACCAGTCTGAGGAAAATAATAACAGCACAATGAAAATCTCATATTTTCCATTCATTCTCTCCCTCCTTTATTGGAGGAAATCAGATTCCAGCTCGAATGAGAACCGAATTATTATTCCTCTCTTCACGCTTCGTCTTTCAGCTCTCAGTCTGTCCGGGACCCCCCCTTCCCACCTGGTGTTTGAAATAACAGTAGAGTACCTCCAACCACAGACCATCAGGAGCTCCAACAGGTCCGACCAGACATGGACCCCTGAGGCGGATCAGGATAAATATCTTCAGCGTTATCTCTGATCAGATAGTTGCTATAATATGAAACAGCGGAGCACAGGATGTCTGGAGGAACCAGAGGACTTTAAATGGTCTTGGGTTGTGAGAAATGAGACACCTGGTCCGGAGCGTGACACCGTGAAGACTGAGGAGCTCTCAGTGGTTCCCTCCATGGAGGAGCGGACAGAACGCTTTGATTTTACCAAGAAACCCAAAGATCTGGACCTCTGATCTAACAAGATAGAAGCTTTTTTTTTGGGCCCAAACTACCATCCCAACAGTGAAACATGGGGGTGGCAGCATCATGCTGGGTGTTTTATCAGCTGCAGGGAATGGATAACTGGACCATCGCAGAGAGAGATGGATGGAACTAGAAACAGAACCTGTGGGACAATTCAATTCTATTCAGTTTATTTCTATAGCTCCAATTCACATCATGTCATCTCAGGTCACTTTCCAGTTCACCAGATCATCCAGTCAGATTGATTCAAAGCTTTCTATCTAAGGAAAACCAGCTGATTGCATCGACTCATTGACTCTTCAGCAATCCCTCACACTAAGCATGCTTGTAGCGACAGTGGAGAGGAAAAACTCCCTTTGAACAGGAAGAAACCTCCAGCAGAACCAGGCTCAGTGTGAGCGGCCATCTGCTGAGGCCCACTGGGGTTCAAGGAGACAGAAGCAGACATAGAAAAAGAAGCATAGATACAAAAGGCAACTGTCAACCAGCTCCACAGGCGGCCCCGTCCAGGAAACACACAGCCAGGCAGACGAGCTCCGAGCCAGCTCCCATGTCAGAGGATGAAGAGAGCACATCCAGTTAGTCACAGTCAGAGAAACAGGACTACACTGGAAAACAGGCCAAGCTTCAACATCTAGAAACAAAGGTGTTGATGGCAGCAGCACAGCTGATATTTCTCTCCAGGATGGAGTCACAGCCAAACAGGAACAGACCAGATGAAGCTACTATGACAGGTTTCCCTTCCAGCAGGGCAGGGGGGGGGGGGTCAGACTGGAATCAGGTTAAAACTCCAAACCGCCTCTGGGTCTCAGCAGCAGAGCTGCTCTCTGATTGGCTGATTGATCGGTGGGCAGTCCACTGTGACAAACACTCTGATCATAATATATATGAAAGCATCAAAGTTTCATGCACATCCAACCATGTTGCTCCCGCCTTTCTAAAAACGCCTCATATTCAGTTATACAAACAAAAACAGGAAAAACAAAAACATTGAGCGGATCTAAAAACAGAACGCAGCCTGAAGAGGCTAACGATGAAACGTGACGCCTCTGCAGGAAGCTGCAGGTGAGCCTCCAGCATTGTGATGCTAATGCAGAGCATGAATGGCTGAACTCTCTGCTGCTATTTTTCCTGGATGCTCCTCCAGCTTCCCTCTGATGACAGGAGGCACAAAGCGAGGAGAGAAAGAAACAGATGCAGCTGAGAGGCGAAGATCTGTGAGCCGCGTTTTCTTTGTGTTCAATTAGCGGAGTGGGTAGAGTCTGTTAAAAAGGCAGAGTGGGCAGCTGGACGGAGCCACACGGTGAGTAATGCAGCTGACAAAGAGCCGTTCACGGAGGCTGATCAAAGCTGCGGCAGATGGTCAGGCAGGGCGCCGCTGCTCTACGGTTGAAGACACACTCAGGCTGAGCTGGATTAGCAGTAAACACTCCTTCTCTCCTCATCACCTACTGGGAACAAACTCCATCAAACCGGGTCGTTCTGAACCGGTTCATTGGTGCCATGAATCTCAACCAGGTCGACGGTTT